TCGATCATGACCCTTGTGAGGTCGAAACCGCCTATAGCGATCTGGACGACAAGTGCGTCATCATGTGGTTTGTCTAAAGATAACGTTTCGCTTTCTAGAAAGCTTATTTGGTGGTCGGGTCCGTCCAGAGGTAGTTTTACGGTAGCAGACTCGACCTTGCGTTGATATGCCTCGATCGAGTTGATTGAGTCTCGGCACATCTTCGAGCCTCTGCAGATGAAGTCGATTCGCTTCATTATGGGTAGCTCCCCCCCCCCCCCCCCCCCTCCCCCCCCCCCCCCATCCCCCCCACTACAACCTTATGGAGCCTGGTTGAGCCGGAACTCGATGGTTTCCTAAGTGCGGGTGGGGGGTGATTACTGATTTCATTGATCCACCGCAAAGGTTTACCTCTCTGAAAATCAGGTCGATCATTTTTCTCGCTGATGGAGGAGAGTCAGGGGTTTAGACTTCGACTTCGACTTCACGAACTCGTTTTTGAGGTGCTTTGTCGAGGTCCTCTTCCCTGTTTCAGGGCAAGGTCTTTTTGGGTTTTTTTCTTTTTCTCTCGGCCTTCTCGGCTTTTTCCTTGGCGAGCTTTTTCGCCAGGATTCTAGCTCGAGTTCGACATTCCTCGGTTGAATATCCGTTCTTTTTATGGTGTTCGCAATATTTGCTTTGGTCGAAGATCGACTCTTTTTCGGGGGACGAGCTTTCTATAGCATACGAATGCTGACCTTTGCCATGCGACTCCCTTTTGGGAGGTGGAACGTTAGCTTTCTTTGACCCAGAGGATGCGAGGTGGAGCTGTGAGTTACGGTATTTTTCTTTGCGGACAGCTGTTTCGTCCTCGAAGTTAGCGAATATGGACGTGCAATGGAGCGCGTTGTCAAGTGAGTCCGTAGGTTGAAGTGTAAGCTCCACCATGAACCTTGACTTGTACCAAAGGTTGGTTCGGAGGGCGAGCAGGGCTACTGCTTTGTTAGGATTAACGAATTTTGCTTTGATCGCCTTGAATTTGACAATGTATGATCAAAGTGGTTCGTCTGGAGCTTGAACTAGCTTTCAGAGGTCGGCTTTAGTTTCTCGTTTTTCGATGAAGATCGAGTATTGCTTGAGGAAGGCTATTGTGAGCTCATTGAAATTCGAGATTGAGTTTTCTTCTAGTGTCGCGAACCATTCCTGGGCGGGTCCGACTAAGTTTTCGGCAAAGAGCCTGCACTATCCTGCTTTTTTTTTCCTCTGGGGAGAAGTTAGCTTGGATAGCTGCGAGGTTGAAGAGTCGGATGGGAGCTTTTGGGCCGTTGTTTCCAGAGTACTCCAGAACTCGTACTTTGGTAGTGTCTCGGAGGTATGTGTTCATGATCGAGTAGGTGAACGGAGTCCATTGGGTCTCGCGGATTACTCGATCGATATTGGGAGATGAGCTCGTGGCTTGATGGAACATGGAGTTCATCTGCTGAATGGCGTAGTCGGTCTGGTTCTGGAACCTTTCAAAGGATTCGCAGTCGACTAGGTTTCTTGAGCCGACGTCGAGGTGGTTAGCCCGAGTCAGATCATTTGGAATCTGGGTTCCGAGCTATTGGTGAACAAACCCTATAGGTTATTCGCGGATCCCGCTAGGAAGTCTCGAGCTCGAGGTCGTGTTCGGTTGTTGGCCAAACTAGGGTGGTGTCTGCGAGCTCGAGGCGAAGGCCAAGGACCCAAGCCATCTCTGTCGAGGTGGCTCGGTTCCAGGTGGTCTTAAAGGTGGAGATGGATATCTCGTGTAGGGACAGGGTCCCATTTTGGGTATTCCTGGTGTTGGCTCAGGCGGAGATGGATATCTCGTCGTGGGACGAGATCCCATCTCTGATATTCTTGGAGCCAGAATATCTGTGGCGATTGTTGTCTGGTTCGCCGCGGTGGCGAAGTTTGATGGACCTGGAGCACGCAGAGGTGTCACGAATTGTTCAGGTGGATTACTCGGAGCAGCGATCGACAAAAAGTCGAGCTGAGTCCGCGGAGGTGGACTCGCAGCAGATCAAGCTGCGGCTTGACGCCTTTCCTGTCTTTCTAATCTGATAGCCTGATCTCGTTGTCGATCGATCAGATGTGTTAGCATTTGGAGTATCTCCGCCGACTCCGATGTGCTCATAGAAGCTACGGGAATCGGCGGGGAAACAGGAGCTGCTCGGGTCTGAGACGCTGAAGCTGTAGGTGGATTCTCAGATCGCACCCAGGTTCGAGAGGGAGGCCTCTCGGCTGTTTGTGAGTGATTACTCGTCGTTCCTGGTGGGGTGACGAGGTTGATCATGATCGGTTCCACACGGCTGGGAACGTTGGAGTTCGTGCCGGTGGTGTCGACGAGGGTCGTAACCCTGGGTTCGTTTCTGCTGACTGTCTGGCTGACGTTGCTGGTCGGAGTAACTTGATCTGGAGAGATCGGAATTGGTGAGACGTTTTCTGAGGTTTGTTTTGTTGAATCCATTTCGGTTTCAGCTGGCTTAGGATCTGCTCTTGAGTAAGATAAATCTATAGAAAGTCCCCACAGACGGTGCCAAAATATGGATACCGAAATCCACACTCGGAAATTTATGTGTTTTTGTAAGAAAAGAACTTTAGAGGATTAAGGGCTAGATTCTCTCGAACAGATCGACAGTATAAGCTAGCACTAACTGAAATAAGGACTTGATATTAGTCGGTCGAATGAAACGGTTACAAAGATTTCGATAGAAAGGATGAATGGAAAAGAGCTCTGAGAGCAGTTACAGAGTTTTCGGGTGTGAAAAATGTAGAAAAAGATCATGCCGAAGGTTCCTCAAACTAAGCTGTTTGTCTCCTTTATATAGCTCGCCTCGTCGAGCTTCGAACTCCAGCGCGTATCTCGGCGACGTGCAACAGCTTCAGCCAGAAATCTTGCCACGTGCAGCAGCTTCCTCCGCGATCTTCGGACTCGTTTGAACTGGCGAGAATATGCTCTGACTTGGCTCGGATCCTTCCTCGTTTCTCAGGATTTGGTCGAGCTGGAGCTCGACCTCGTCGAACGGAACGTTTTGTTGTTCAGGATTAGATCGTTGAGAGCTGAATGGACCTGGGCCGTAGGGTCAAAACCCAGTCAATTTGGCTTAGTTTGGATCTGCCCTTTGGGCTTGAATGGACCGGATTTAGAGTGCTAAATCCAGCTCCAACAAGGATGGTAAAAAATAAAACAATTTTTTTTATTTGCTGTTATTTATTATTTTGAACTTGGATTTGGAAAAAAATAAAACAAAATTAACAAAAAAAAATATTTGGGTTTTTAATGGGTTTAAGTTAAAAATAATAAAAATTAGTAAATAATGTGTATTAATAAAATATTTTGATTAGTATTTTTTTTGCTGAAATATCAATTTTAAAAAGTTTGAAAAATTTGATGTTTCATTTTATGGAGAAACTTAGATGTTATTATTGTACTGATTTTATTATAATTAAATTGTTAATCATATTTAATTTTTATATTCTACTATGATAATTTTTTTTTGTATGTTTTACTATGATAAAGAACCTAGCAAAACGCCTTGCCGAAAATATGATTTGTCAGATGGAAACACCTTTTAAATCCCATTACAAAGTTCTAAAAACAATCGAAGACAAGAGATTACTAAAGTGCATAACATCTAAATATTAGTTTTAGATTTTGGTTTTTGGTTTTAGATTTTTAGAGTTTTGGTTTTTAGTTTTGGGTTTTTATTTTTGCAGTAGATTTTCGTTTTTAAAAAACTTGAATGGTAATTTGTTTAGTTTTTGGTTTTTACCTACATTTTTTTAAAAAAATGTTGTTATGCTTATAAGTTTTAGTCTTTAACATATTGATTGTTAATAAATTCACAAAATATAAGTAATGATAAAATTATCAATAAATATGTACATAAGCTTGTGTCATAAAATTAAAATAAAATAAGCTTATTATTGCACATATTTTAGACATGTTTATAAAAAATAGAGATAAAATTTGTTTTTTGTGTTTTAAATGATCAAAAACTATTGTGTGAGATTTATCAATAATAATATATTATCTGATTTTTGATTTTAGATCTTGAATTTTTGGTTTTTTGTTGTTGTAGGTTTTAGTTTTACAAAAAAATTTGAATGGTGATTTTTTTTTACATATATATTTTTTAATATAAGATAATGACTTAATTATAAGATATGGTTTTATGTTTTGTTTAGTTTTTGTTGCATTAAATATTTAAAGTATTATCAAACAGTACCAAAACTAAATAAATATAATTTATTAATAAATACAAATACTATTTTTTATGAAAATAATAAGTAATACCAAAAATATCTATAAAAATATACATACATTTAAAAATGAAAAATATTATGGTAACTTCTTACAAAAACTCAAAAATTATGGTTTTCGGTTTTTGTTTGTAAAATACTAAAAACCATGAAAAACTAGTTTTCCTATAATTTAGGGAATCTATTTGCTAAAAAACTTAATGACTAAAAAAACAGTTTTTCAGAAACTAAAACCAAAAACTATTAATTTAAAATCCTAAAAAAAGAGATCTTGTAGAAAAATGTGATGAAAACAGCAACAAGGATAGATTCATTACTCAAATATAAAAATGACAGCGAAAGTAATTATGCCACACCGTCAACAAATCTAACGATTTGTACATCTAACGATTTGTACATCTAACGATTTGTACATCTAACGCATGCCTAATCGTATTACAAACTACAAACCCAAATTTTTAAAATTTAAGCGATTACTTATAATCAATGGACCTAAATTCAAAAAGACTCATAAAGATTAAATCATTACAGTATTCATAATATTCCTCAAGTTCCGAATTATTTACGGAACCATTTTAAAGTTGGGGTTTGCGTTACGCTTTAGTAAATCTCAAATCAAACCAGATACAGTTCTAGTTTTATACATACACACTTTCTGCATTTCTCACCGTCCCACTTTTGTGCTACACATAAGAGGTAATAATTAATCACGTGTATCCGAACTCACAACAAGCAAATCTGATCTTCCAATCGTGGCCGGACACGTAAGAATTTCTATCAAACTGGACGGTCACGATCACAAAGCAGAAACCTTTCAAATAGATTTCGTTTCCATATAAATAGGAAAAAAAGGAAGCGACCAGGACCACCGAATATCATCAGATTTCCGATTATTATAAGAGAAAACGACGGAGGTTCGATAGATTTCGCCGCAAGCTAGATTCGTTGGAGATATCACCGGAGCCGATTACCTCGACGGAAGTGTTACCGGAGCTGAATCTCCTCATTTTTTCCAAGCATGAAGAGACGAAGAGCGGCGAGGAAATCATCGGCGACGGTGGCTGTTAGCGATTGGGAGGGTTTAGATTCCGGCGAAGAGACGAGAACCGCACGGAGGTTGATGAAGTTCGAGGAATTGCCTGGGTATTTGAAGGACAACGAGTTTATTCACGACCATTATCGATGCCAATGGTCTCTCAGAGATACTTTCCTCAGTGCTTTCTCTTGGCACAACGAGACTCTCAACATCTGGACGTACGTTTATTCAACATTTTCGATTCCGATTTTAAAAAACCTCTGTGTAATTTTTGGGGATTTCGTGATTTTTTTTCTTTTCGAAATTTGAAAATCCGGCAGGCACTTGATCGGATTTATGTTGTTTATGTGGATGACGGTGGTGAGTTCCTTGGAGACGACGGAGCTTGGTCTCGCCGGAATAGTCAACGGCATGGCTGGGTAAGGAACCGTCGAGGTTAAAATTGTCATTTCAAGTATCGTTTTCTTTTTTAAAATTATAAAAACTAAAATATAAAAATAATATTAATACCGGCTTTTTGTGTGTGGGTGGGGCCCGACGATAGGGCGTGGATGTACTCCTCGAGCAATCAGACTCGGCTTCATCATGTAAGATTTTTGTTTTTTTATAATAAGCTTCTTCGACTTTATCTTATCTTCTGTGACATAAAACGAATAGTAAAATGCTACACATACGTTACAATTCGACATATGTTTTTGTCATTTTCTGATGCTGATGCAGTATTAGAGTGTAGTGGTAAAATTTGCCCCTACCATGTGTTGTTTTCGATAGGTTTTCTTTGGATCTTTCTTCTCTTGTGTTTTGAGCCCAACCAAACTTTTATTAAGGAAAAATTAAAAGGAGTTTATTTTAAAATATCTAAAGTTTTGAAAAATATTCGGTGCATATCTAAAGTAAATAGTTTTCTTGCATGTATAAAAGTAATGTTTATTTTGTGCACACTCGTGACTCAGTCAAATAGTAGAACCGGTGGTTTTAATACCGCCGGTCAACCAAAACTAACTTGCCAATCACAAACCGACCAAATCAAATAAAACCAGCTCGATTAACAGAAAAATAACGAGTTTGTTTTCCTTGGTTCTCTATCGGTTAGATTGAGTTTGGAGTTTACATTGGTTTGGGTTAATTTTATGGGTCGGTTTAGAACAGATCATCTTTTGCAGGTTAATGATGTATATCATCACAATCACCACTCTTCGAAAACATAAAACATAAAAAAGATTTGATGAATAGTAAAAAGTAGCTAAATCACAAAACTTGAAAAACTGGACACTGATTGGGGAGAATTTCCTTTTTTACAGTTTTACAAGTTTTTCATTGGTTTGGGTTTGGTTTTACATTGCCCATATAATTGTCCAGTTTTATGGGTCGGTTTAGATTAATTTTATTGTCCAGTTTACATTGGTTTGGGTTAATTTTTTGAGTCGGTTTAGAACATACTGTATCATTTCTTTTTAACACGTTAATTTTGTATATAGCACAATTACATTTCAAAAACGTATAAACATAAAAATTTGATGAATAAGTAGCAAAATCATAAAACTTGAAAAACTGGACAATTAATTCTTTTCAAGTTTTTCAGTCATGATCTTTCTCTAGTCCAAGAATAATTAATTCAATCACATAGGCTAAAACTTTTAAAGAAACTCTCTCGCAGGATTCCAACGTGACACAACGCATCTCCCTCCTTAACACTCAAGGAGAAGTGAACCATCACAGCCACCAAGAAGCTGTTCCGAAATGGCCATGGCTGGTGTACTTGGCCGGAGCAATGGGCTGCTTAATCTGCAGCTCCGTTTCACACCTCCTCGCTTGCCACTCGAAACGTTTCAACCTCTTCTTCTGGCGATTAGACTACGCAGGGATCTCACTCATGATCGTCTCCTCTTTCTTCGCACCCATCTACTACGCTTTCTCCTGCCACCCTAACTTCCGACTCCTCTACTTGTCCTCAATCTCATTCCTCGGTGCCCTCGCCGTCATCACTCTCCTCTCTCCAGCTCTCTCGACGCCGCGTTTCAGACCTTTCAGGGCAACTCTTTTCCTCGCGATGGGATTCTCCAGCGTGATTCCAGCTTCTCATGTGCTCTGCCTTTACTGGGGTCATCCTAACGTGTTCATCGCACTCGGCTGCGAGCTAGCCACCGGAGTCTCTTACGCGTTAGGAGCAGCGTTTTATGTGAGCCGTGTCCCTGAGAGGTGGAAGCCTGGAGCGTTTGATATCGCGGGTCATAGCCATCAGATATTCCACGTGTTTGTAGTTTTGGGTGCTCTTGTTCACTGTGTTGCCACTCTTCTCATTGTGGATTTTCGACGAGCGTCACCTTCTTGCGGGGTTTAAGCCCAGAGGGTAAGCAATTTGTGATGTTAGAAATAGAAGCAAGTGTAATTGCGATTGCAAGATCTATAATGCTTCATGATTATTAAGCAGAGTGTATGTAACATAGAGGACATTTATCACTGGATGACTCTGTTTCTTTGGAGATCAAACATGTTCTTCACGAACGATGTAGCTACAAATCATTTTTATGACGAGCATTTTTTATATAATACATACCTATGCAACATGGAAACTCTAAGGTAGTTTCGGAAATATTTATAAAATTTTTCAAAATTTGTTGGAAACACGAATAATTACATTTTAAAAAAAAGATTCAAATATGATGAAAATACCTAGTTTCCATTTGCAAACATGATGAAAACTTAATTTTTTGTTTTGATAATAAATAAACAATTATAAGAATGAGATTTTGTGATCAAATTAATATTGGTATTTTTTTTATTTAAATGTTCTGATTTTTATTCTTGTTTAAAATATTTAATTATTGTTGATAATTTTGTTGATTTTTTAATATATATGACTAGTGTTTATATATATATATATATATATATATATATCAATTTCTATATTTCAATTATAAGAATGAGATTCTGTGATCAAATTAATATTGGTATTATTATGTTTGAAGATTTTTCTCTAGTTCAATAAAATAGAATTGGAGATAGTTTTAGTCATAGAGTTAAATGAAATTGATGATAAAGAAAAATATTCTTCATTTTTTTATTTAAATATTCTAATTTTTATTTTTATTTAAAATATTTAATAATTATTGATAATTTTGTTGATTTTTAATATATATGACTAGTGTTTATATATATATATAAACATTTTAATTTCTATATTTTTATTTTGGTAATACATATCTATGTTGCATGAAAACTCTGTCTAAGATATGTTTCGGAAATATTTCCAAAAATTCGTTAGAAATACGAAAATTTATATTTTTAAAAAATCATTTTGGAATATGATAAAAATGCAGTGTCCATTTTAAAAGACTCATTTCCATTTTGCAAACATGATGAAAACTTAATTTTTCTTTTTGATAATATATAAATAATTATAATAATGAGATTATATGATCAAAGTAAGTTAATAATTAATTTACTTTATTAAAGTAAGTCAATAATTATTTTGATTCATTAGATAACATTAATCTTGGTATTATTAACTTTTAAGATTTTTCTCTAGTTCAATAAAATTGAATTGGAGATAGTTTTAGTCACAAAATTAAATGAAATGGATGATAAATAAAAATCTTCTTATTTTTTTATTTAAATATTTCAGATTTTTATTCTTTTTTAAACTATTTAATAATTATTGATAATTTTGTTGATTTTTTTAAATATATATCACTAGTGTTTATAAACGTTTCAATTTCTATATTTTTTTTAAAAATATATATATTTATTTTGGTATATCTGATTTTTGTTTACATGCAACCTAGACATCAACTTTGTCTTACATCTTGTGAATAATATAGTTGATATCTCCTTTTGTTCTACACAGATTAGAACAAAAATATCATACCGGTACATGATCCTTAATCGGTATGAATTTTTTTTGTTCTACTATGTGGGCTGCAACAAACAAGTTGAAAAGGAAGAAGATGGAAGCAAATAAAATATTGTTTATAATTTCATTAGAATAATAAAGATCTCAAAACACAATTTTCTTTTTCATCTCTTTAGTGATCTTTGAGGTTACACACAGCAAAAAGACAGTGATTTGGGTAGGCTCTACAGGAGCCAATACAGGGTCTTTTAATGAGCCGTTGAAAGCTTGAAATGCTCTTTCTTTTAATAATGTTAACTACGTTTTATGTATAATAATTAAGGGAGATACTAGATTTTCAATACACAAAAGAAGATTCGAAAATTAATTTGCGGGAAGAAAGCTAAGAAGACATGACCCACGCCAAAAAAAAAAAGTCATATTAAGAGGAATATGAATGTAGAATTTTAGTTCATGACATTTTTTTTCATAAAGTGATTCTTTCTGCTGACCAAAATTCCGAAACTTTCTACTTTTAATGATATGGACACGGCATCATAATTGTTTTCTGGTCAAGCATGGTTTCTATGAATGAATTAAAATCCCTTTTTTTATTTTATTTTCCTTTATTACGTATAATTTTGTCTAATTTACCATTTTAGTTTCCGCAGAATCATTTTCCCCATCAGATGTTTTGTAATCTTTCTGAACCATCAAATTCTCTCCGCTTATCTCTGGGAATTACTCGTCAACAAAACTCGTGTTCTTCTGCAAATTTTTCAGGTACAGTGAGATTCTTTCTTTATTCCAATTAAATAGATTCTTGTTGACTTCTTTCACTAGAGATTGATCATTAGAAGTTCAGATTCTCTCCCAACCATAATACAATTGATTACTCAGTAACTCTAGTTAATTTACAAAGCATGTGTTGAGTTGTAAGCAAAAGATTGTAGCGTTCTTGAAATTGCAGAGACATGGTAGGAAGAAGCTGCAGCTTGAATATGAGCGGTGTTGTGTCCATCGATCTTAGGATAGCTCTTTATGAGATGAAGGAAGATGTTCAGAGACTCCAAGAAGAGTTAGATGCAGAGAGAGAAGCGACTGCCACGTCAGCGAGCGAAGCCATGTCAATGATTCTTAGGCTTCAAGGAGAGAAAGCAGCGCTGGCTATGGAAGCTAGCCAGTACAAGAGAATGGTCGAGGAGACAATGACGCACGCTGAGTTGTCTCTGGAGCTTTTGGAGGATCTTAATTACCAGAAAGAAGTTGAAATCAAGAATCTTGAGTGTGAGTGCCATGCCTACAGGTGCAAGCTTTCGAGCTTGGGATGCAGTGGAATTGATGATGATGACCATATGAGATGTTGCGATAGATCTCAAACGCCATCTCCAGACCCGATTGATGTAGATCATTTGGTTCCTGTGGAGAAAGGAGTCATTGAGCAGAGCTTGGATTCATCAAGAGGACACCAGGAGAAAAACTTAGATTTGTATTGGGAACAGGTCAAGAAACTTGATGAGCAGTTAAAAGAGCTTAAGAATCTTAAGAGCTTGAATGTGTCTGAAACTAAGAATGGAGAAAAAGGTGAAGCTAACATCCAAGATATAGTTCCAATGCAGAAAGTTAAGGGTTTGTGTAAGCCTGATGTTTTGGTGTCTAAGAAATCATCTAAAAAGAAAAGAGACAGAAGCTTAAAGAGAGACCATGCAAAAGCAACTTGCTCTGCAAATGATGCAGAGTATCAAGCCGATTTGCAGCGTTTGAAAGAGAGGGTAGAGAGGCTTGAGAAGGAGAGATGCAACACAGAGCCTCAAGCTAGTGAAGTAAAGCAAGAACAAGAAGAGTTAAGTCCTGTGCAAGCTCATGAAATGAAGAGTTCAAGGACAAGTCAGAAGTTATTTCCTTGTTATGACTCAGCTATTGTCTCTGTCCAAGAGGTATGGTAACATCAAATTCTGACAAAATATTCAGATAGTACTTAATAAACTAATATATCTTGGCATGTATATTGAAACAGGCAATGCTTTACTTCTGGCTATGAGACACGTGGCCGCATTAGAGCGAGTGAGAATACACTAAACAAGACTTCTACAAAATAGGAAGAACGTCTTTGATTTGATTGAAGAATATACAAAACTTGAGAACCTTATGGTGTGTGTCACACTTATAAGATTAGTTAAAGCGTGTGATTAAGATTGTATTTGCCTTTGTTTTGTTTGCTTGAAGTGAGATCCACTTTTTTTTCTGTATACCTTGAGCCTTTGAGAAACAAATGTTGTTCTGTTTTCAAGATCTTTCATGGTTTTGATCTTCGTGGAAAAGAAGGATGAAAGTGAAAGTTACCAACCTGAAGTGTTATGTGGATGCTTTATCATCTCTGAAACAAAGAAAGTCTGAAACTTTACAATCACCAATGTTATAGATTGTTCTTGTGACACAAACGTCTATGGTGGTTTCGAGTCTGTTTACTTAATCTAACCATAAGCAAGTGAATAAAATATATATTTTTTTTATTGGTTGCAATCAGACCAAACTAATAAGTACTATAGTAGTTTGTTTTTTTATCCTTTGAATTAATAACTAGTATATTTCCTTTTTTTATATAGTGAAAAAAAAAAGTCTTCTTTATTTTGTCTACCAGGCAGAACCACATGACCTTGAGGAATATTTCATAGAGATTCCTCATGTAGCAAAAGCCATTGGATTTCTTAACTGAATTGGTAAAAATGTTAATTTTGAGTCCTTGCAAGTAATAGATGCTTGTGTTGCAAGCAAGCGCTACTTCATTTCAGTTCCAAGAAGAGATAATACTTATTATCTTTGGCTTCTCGTTGGTTTTGCAGAGCTTTCAAAAGAATTTATTTGCATGCCTTCTGTCCATAGTGCACATCATAGTTTTTAATGGAGCAGCTTATTCTAAAGAAGAGAATTGGACCAATGTTCAACAGTTAACATAATCAGCTAATCAATGATTTTGTAGGAGAATAACTTATCAGCAACTATGAACACTGATGCTGATAAGCTTATAAACAAAATTAGCAATGAACATGATCACAGAAAGCAACAACAATAAACAAAATAATCTTATTATGATAAGATGAGAACTTATCAGCAATGAGCAGTACAGTTAAGTTCACTGAATCAATGTTTAGCAATAAACATGATCAAAAATAAACAAAAAATAGACATAATAATTTTTATCAATATGTGCGGAAAGAGAACTTATCAGCAATCACTGATCCACGATATTAAGTTCATTGACGGATCCTTGATCAACTGTGACTCTAAATTCATAAGCATTACAGTGATCATTGGCATCATAATTAGTTAGTTCAACTTTTGCTACATTAATTTCGCCACACCCACCAATTTGAGACTACCATTTATAGCTAAAATTATATTCACTAACGAAACTATTGTTTTTTCACACTTTTAACCAATTTTATTTTTAACGGCTTCAGTAACTGAATGCAAAAAAGTAGGTTCACAAGCCTGACAAGCAACATTATGTCATGCTCAAGATAATTAACATGCGGCAAATTTACCTCGGTCAAACCTGCCAGCAATTTGCTGGGCTAACGAAGAATCAGACCCCTTATCTTGTGGAAGAAAATCTTTGATTAAAAATTAATTAAAATGATGTTTCTGGGGACAAAAGACGACGACTTGAAAAACATGTGTATAACATGTGAATAACATGTGTATAATTTTCTCCGGTCTTCTTCCTTATTTTTCCACCAATAATTTCAATTCTCTCTTTCTCAACGTGAATAACACTTCGTACTGACATAGTGATTCTCAGCTCCTACTTCGAAACAAACAGGATTGGCTATCATCCGCTTGGCAGAAATCCGAAGGTTACTCATCTTGCCTTCGCTGATGACATAGTGATTCTCTTTGATGGCGGCGCCTCTTCTCTTCAAGGAATAGCTTCAACTCTTGAATCCTTTCATGCTGTTTCGGGTCTGCATATGAACAGAGAGAAAACAGACCTATACGTAGCAGGCTTGAACCCTGAGGAAGCTGCGGCTCTGATAGGGTCAGGTTTTACCCAAATAAAACTACTGCAAGTGCACAGCAAAAGCAGTTGTAGTACAAGGGGTTATCGAATCCCAAGGGAGTATGTAAACCACACTAGCGATTATAGATTCAGATTAAGCTAAGCGATAAATAATGAATGTAATGCAAAACAGTAGAATAAATGCAAAAGAGCGTTTTTATGCTTGTTCTTAAAGTTCAGAAGGCTAAAGGCGCTAAGTCAGGACAGTTCACAGGTTGAATCTGAGAGTGTAGAATGCATGCAATCAGGAATGAATTAAAACCGTCTTGAACATGAATCACAAAGATATAACTAATCAATTCTCATTGCAGAAGTTATCTATGTCTAAATCACAGAGTTTCAAATCTCTTTGCAAATCCTAACAACCTAAACATGCAGTAATGATCAGGTTCAATTGTTCACAAAACTCCTAAGCCAAATCTCTTTGTACTAGGGCGTTTTGCTCATCTAATACTAGTTCAGGTGATTAATAATGCTCTCACATCTATCAAAAACCTAGGGTTTCGAAATCCAGATGATGTGTCTAAGAAATCGATATGAATGCAAGCACAGATGAAGAACCAATGAATTTCCTATAAGTTTTTAGCAATTCTACAAACTCTTCTTCAACCTTTGAAAAGCCCTAACTTAACTAACAAACTACTCAGACATGGTGATTTGAGAAAACATCATGAAAAGAATAGATTGCATAAAAGAAATAAGAAGTAGAAATAAAGGAGTTCAAAATCTGCTCTGAAGGAGTCTGATTTGTCTCTCCAAAAGCTCTTCTACAAATCTCTCTCTAAAGCTCTCAAAAATAATAAGATACAAGATTTTTGCCAAAAGAATGGCTGAAAAACCTAATATACAAGCTAAAACACGATCTGGGGTCTTTTTGCAAATATTGGAATTTTTGGGCCAAAACTGCAATTTCTTCCCAATCTTTTAAAAACAGGCCACGACCTCCTTCCTTGGTGGGTGACGAGCGTCACCAGCTTGGTGACGAGCGTCACCCATATGCATACTTTTCTTCCCGAGTTGGATACTTCGTGGCTTCAACTCAGAATGCTCCAAAAGGTTCCAAAATCTCCAATTATGCTCCAGACATGCTATAACCTGCAAAAACTCTACTAGGACTCTAAAAAGACCAAAAGGACTCAATAAAAAGGACTTATATCATGGTTAAAAACCATAAAAACCATGATATATCAACTCCCCCAGACTTAGCTTTTGCTTGCCCTCAAGCAAACATCAGACAAAGAACAAGGTCGAGGTTTGAAAACAAGAAACAGTCAATCAGTCATCAGAAACACCACACTAGTTAGAGCTTTCGAATCCACATACCACATAGTCAACACAAGATCAAATTTCAGTCTAATTATCACAAGCTTAGCAAATCTCTCAAGTCCAGTCCAAATCCCTTCAAGAAATCCGAAATTTCTACTGTTAACTCCTTATTTTTTTTATCTAAGTGTGATATCTCATCAAGGCTCTATCATCTCAATCACTTTACAGATTCTTTTCCCTTCTTAACAACTGAACAAATCAATCTCAACACAGCTCTCCTATTTTCTCTTCCCTTGATCTTTTCCTTTGAATATTTTCGATTTTTCACTTCTTTTTTCTCAACTTTTACAGTCTAAGATATGGTGCTACTCAATACTTGTGTTCCTTGTGAGGAGACAGGGTCATGAATGCACCATTCTTTGGACTTAATCTTTTAAAAACTACATCAGGGAAGATCAAAAAGAGACTGTATTTTAACCTTATTTTCAGTGCTGAAAGAGAGAATCAAGATAAATAAGAATCAATCACCAAGACAAGAAGTTTAAAGTTCATTAAGGTGGAGCTAACAGTAAATTTTCCAGATTCTCTAAGAACCTAAACCTTCATTGCTAGACTGATCTACCTATGACTTTCAACTTAGTAAGACTTGTAATCAACTACTGTGGTAATGGTTCTTATCAGCAAAAACGTCCTATGGTTAGTTCCAAGAAAAACTGACAGTTTCAAAAATTTTGACTCTATAAAACAGGTTTTTGACTCAACTTTAAGACTTTATAAACATGACACAAAGCACACAACGTCAGTAACCACCTCCCCCAGACTTAAACAACACTGTCCCCAGTGTTATTAAGCCAAGAGTTGGTCAAAATGAAGCATGAGAATGTGTAAAACCAAGGTGGAAAAGTGGTACCTCGCAAAGGACCTGGTGACGAGCGTCACCAGATTGGTGACGAGCATCACCATCTCTGATACTTCAGAAATCGACATGTTGGATGTTTAAATGCTATGTCATCATGTGTACTCCGAAGTCAAACTGGAAGAGCACTCAAAACACACATCAAAACATCCAAACAAAGCATAGTCCATGGTCTAACAAGTTCACAAGATATAATCCAAGCAAACTGAACAAAGTGACTCTTCTTCTTTTTTTTTTTTTTTTTTGATTTTTCCTCATTTGTTTGGGTTTTTTTTAGCTATGTAATAGAAAACTAAACTAATATATGAAAAAGAAAACTTACCAGTGGGTTGCCTCCCACTAAGCGCTTGTTTAAAGTCATTAGCTCGACTTTGAATGCTGCTCAGACAGCTGGTGGAGCAAAAGGTGGCATTGAATGCCTTGGAGAAGAATGTCTCCTCATCCATGGTGGTTTGTAAGCAGTAGATGTATGAACACTTCCAAGGAATTGAGGAACATCAGCAGAGTGGGTCGTGACTATGGGTGGGATACTTCTTTTTCCTGCAGAATCATCAAAAGAAACACCAAGCATTCTTTGCTTAGTTGCAGGTTTCTGGGTTGTGGACTGTTGAATTTTCGGATTGGCAACATATGATGGACTTGTAGAGCAAATATCACGTCTCTCCTTTGTGTCCAGATTGGTGACGAGCGTCACCAGGTCAGTGACGCTCGTCACTGACTCTGCAGTTCGAGTTTCTGCAGTTTTCCTGCAATTCAGCTCTGCAAGTGATGCTTCCATCACATACACGTCTTCCTCCAGCAACTTGGCATTCAGTAGAACCTCTTTTTCAAGCCCAGTCATGAAGATATGATCCTCACTGCAACCCTCAAACCCAACAACTTCTGCAGAAGTTTCAGATATTAGCTCTTCAACAGCCATCTTGCTCACTTGCCTACTTATATCTGATTCATTGTTACACTCAGCAATAGTGTCTTCTGAATGCTCCATGACAGTCTCTTTATCTCTAGAAGTTCTTACAGAAAAGGTCTGACCATCAATGGTAGAACTACCTCTTAACTTATCCATGTCAAAGTTCATGACAACATCACCAAGATCAAGCTCAATGTTCCCCCTTCTAACATCAATGATGGCTCCAGCAGTA